AAATTACACAGATTTTGACAAAACACTTGTTATAACTTCTGAAAACGAAGACATAAGAAGACCGGTCTCATGTCAGCCTGCAGAGTACAGCTCGGTTTTACAGCGGTAAAAACTTTCATACTCAGCAGCCACATGAGAACACCACAATGAGCTGCCCATCAGCAAGGCTGTTTTCAATCCAAATGTCCTTGTAAAGATAAATTTAAAACAAAAACTGGTAATTGGACAGGTTGAGCGAAAACAGCGTGGTGATTTTAAAATGCCAAGGCGTGCCTTTCATCCCAAGCAGGCAAATTAACATTCACAGCAAAAGCATTATCATGACACCTTGCAATAATTCACAGTGAGCCTGTAAATTCCTCGCAGCGCTGAAGAGGTCTGATTTCAGGATCCTTCGGAGCATCATCAGCAGTTCTGTGTTAATGGCTGAGTTTTCAGATGGTGTGAATAATATATTTCCACCTCCTGCTTTATCGAGGGCCATTAAACACTCTGCAATAGTCTGAAGACAATCACACACACACACAAAGCGCAGAGTCCCAAAATGACTAAGCTGTGGGCCCCAAGATCCCAAGAGTGAGAAAGTGCTTTTATCTTAATTGGAATCAGGAGGGGAAACGTCTAAAATACCCTAATGCCAAAATTCTGAATATCTTCTGATGTGTTTTGTCAAGAGGGGGAATCCCTGCAAGGCAAGCAGGAAGTGGAGCTGACCATTTTTGAGCTTTGGAGACAGACTGGACCACTGTATCACAACATGACAAAAGATTTCAATGGAGAGATGTCTAAAATGAAGGGAGTTCTTTAAATGTGTCTTTAAAGTGTTTCCAATTATTTTGGCCGATTAGATCTATGCACAGTGTAAACGTGAGCAGAACTATGCCGGCAACAAAGCTAACAAGCTAACAGGAGAGTCACGAGCTTGTCTCCTGCCCAGGGCTCTGCGGGACTAATATATATCTTTTTATTAATTCAAAAAAAGAAAGGAAAGTAATTAAAAATAGTTAGCTGAATGCCAAGCACACACTGTGCTCAGAGAGAGTCCTGAGTCGAGCGCTAATCAGCTAAAATCAGTAACATTACTAAAGCTTCGATGCTAACCCTGTAGGCGCTTTGATTCTTTTATTAGGGCCTTCATGAAACTGCTGTGTTTATTAAAAATGTCCTACAAAATTAATCACATTTTTTTTCCTCTTAACATCTTAAATTGCTTGAGAACTCTCTGAAATTTGCACACATGACTAAACTGGTAAAAAGAAAAATATATATTAGAAGCACCACTTAGAAAATTGACTTGCAGGCTTTTCACATCCATGTACAAAAGTCTGCAGCCCCAAAAAAGCCTCATGCCCTGAACCCCCCACCCCCTTGGGGGTTTTTTTGTATATTTTTTTTAATTTACTGGGTAATTTTGGCACTTTTTTGTTTACAGACAGAGATTGTACTTTAACAAACCCTCACCCACATTTTATCAGATCAACATAACATGTGCTGCAATTTGAAGTTGAGTACAGTTTAATTCCCGATACAACACATTTAATAGGAGGTACTTAAAATAAATACTGAATATAGAATAAGTTCAGCAAATTATTATTAATAATAATAACAACAATAATAGTAATAATAATACATTTTATTTATATGTGCCATTTGATTCTGATTAAGGAAAAATGCCACTGAAATGTGCCGTGTTAAATCAGCTCCCAACTTGACCTGGCTTTAACAAGCTGGTGATGAATCTGGGTGTGATGCAGGGCAACATGACACTGATAACTCGACTGTTTGAATTTCTTCTTTCTGGACACAGTCCCAAAACGTTTTGCTCCAGCAGTCGTCACTCGAATAAACAAATCACAGCTTTTATTCTGAGATAAACGGATGTTTTTTTCTTTGTGGTATGTTCATCTTTTTAAACCCTTTACTATCTGCAGATAAAGTCTGTGTATGCGTACAAATAAAGGTGGCCTTGTTTTCCAGCATTACAAAGTTGTGTAACACTGTTATATATAGTTATATGTAACGCTCATATGCAGCATCCTAACAGGGAACATGCCTCGAGATATCTTCATGTCCACATTAAAGCTATTTGATGGGGCACAACCCAGCGTGTGTGAAGGAGCGAACTTTGCTACCTGAAGATTAATTTTATTTATTATTTAATAG